GACCCCAAGGTGAAACTCTCATAGCACCCGATACCAACATACGTTGGAAATGGGCCCCCATAATGATACCCCTATTAGTGGGACTTGGACTAGCAGGGTCCACAGCTATGGGAATCTCCTCCCTAGTCACCGGAGACCAAAATTTTAAAACCATATCACACCAAATATATGCAGACATTACTCATCCAAGAAACTCCATTTCCCAATTGACGGACCAGGTGGACTCCTTGGCTGAAATGGTATTACAAAATAGGAGAGGATTAGACCTGTTGTTATTAAAGGAAGGAGGACTATGAGCCGCACTCGGTGAACAATGTTGTTTCTACGCAAACAATACAGGAATCATTCAAGATAGCCTTGCAATGGTCAAAAAAAGTTTAGAAATGAGGCAATGCCTTAGAGAAACTTCTCAAAATTGGTACCAGAAATTATTCTCTTGGTCCCTGGCTAACATCCCTACTCACTGGATTAGCAGGACCTTTGGTTCTAATGGCCCCAGGGTTAATATTTGGACTATGTCTTCTAAACATTCTCCTCAGATTTATCCGGGAAAGAATAAACTCGATAAAGTTAATGGTTCTGAGATTCAACTATGGGCCCCTATGTCAAGAAGGAAAAACCTATTAAAGATTTAATACATGTTAAAAGAGCAGGGGGAATGTGATATGGCTGGCTCAGAGTTAGAACTTGAGCAATGTGATTTTGTACAAGACAAAGCTATTTTCCAAAAATAAGTTGTAACGACTGCCCCATTCTCTCGCAATAACTGCTGACCTTGGCTTCTGTAAAGTTTCTTGCCTTTATTTATCAGTAACTGCCAGAAGTGCTTGCCTTTGCTCATCAGAAAATGCTAAAAAGTTGCTTGCCCTGCATCCCCTCACCCTCTTGGTCCTAAATCGAGGATGTGGTTTTTCAGCTTAAAACCCCCGGTGCCCCTGAGCTCGGGACCACAGGTTGGAGAGACGTGAGTCCTCTGTGGTCACCGGCATAATAAATGACCCTGCAATTTGGCATACTTTTGTCTTGGTGTAAATATTTTAATCTCGCATTTCAATACCTCGGCTGTACCAATTTCCATTCCCACCAGCAGCGTACAAGGGTTCCAGCTTCTCCATGTCCTCTCCAACACTTTGACAATAGTCATCCTAACAAGTGTGAAGTGATATCTCATCATGGTTTTAATTTTCACTTCCCAGCTGACTAGTAACGTTGAGCACCCTTTCATATACCTGCTTGTCATTCGTATGTCTTTTTGTAAAAAATGTCTAAGTCCTTCACCTATCTTCTAATTGGGTTGTTTTTATTGCAATTGGGTTGTAAAAATTCCTCGTATGTTTTGGATATTCGCTTCTTATCAGATATCTAGTTTACAAATGTCTTCTCCCATTCTGTAGGTTGCCTTTCGCTCTGATGAATTCCTTTGCTGTGCGGAGTTTCCTTTGCTGTGCAGTTAGATTTTTAACTGGCTCTTTGTCCCTCTCCCCAGTGTTCCTGCCATTTTCTTTAGAGTTGTAAATTGGGTTGATGGTCTTATTTTATTCTGACATTGCAAGCATGCTGGTTGTTCTCAGATTCGTTCATGGAGATAAACTGTATGAGGTGAAGAAAAGCTGATGGTGTGTTGGCAGTCACACAAATGTCAAAGTGAAAATGAAACAATGAAAGAAAGCCAGATTGTTGTGATTTCCCTCCCACTATCACTTTTAACTCCTTAGATCAATATCCACACCCAGAAAAAAATACCTGAGACAGTGCAGTACAATTGTATTATGTGGCAAAGGCCCTAAAAGCAGAGGATGTTGTGGTGGTTGCAGGAGCTGGGGGTGGGAGAAATGGGGAGATATTGATCCAAGGCCACAAAGTGTCAGTTGCACAGGATGAGTAAGTTCTGAGGATGTAATGTGCAGCATGGTGGCTGCAGTTAATAATATTGTATTTGTATACTTGCAAGTTGTTGAGACAGTAGATCTAAAATATCATCGACACACACGCACGCACACACTTACACAGACACACACACACACACGGTTACTATGAGTTAGCCAAAACAAATTCTGGGAATAAATGAGACCAGCTTAAGACTACATAGCTGCTAAATCACAGAGCTCTTTATCTGTAGTTCTGATCAGTATTTAAAATTTGAGAGGGAACTCTTTTAAGGCTCTGAGAAAGTTTTGAACTTTCCTCCAAAAATGCAAAAAGTGTCTAATTTTGCATATAATTTCAGACAATCCCCAAATTCCCTGAAGCTTATGCAAGTGAACTCTTGGTTAAGAATCTCTAATGAATCTGCATGGTGTTTTTATGGGCATTCACTCTATGATTATTTACTTAAAGGTGCATATGTGTTACATTGACTTTTTTATACATGTTATATCTCATAATAAAAAGTATAGAAAAGAGGCAATAAATTAAAAGAAACAAAGGCTGTTATTTTCGACCTGGAGATTAAGACCTGATTTATATAATACATTATAGATTTTTTTTCTATTGTCTACCTGTATAACCATCTTTAGAGTGGTGCATTAAAATTATAATGAAGAACACATGACTGAATATGGAACATCCATGTATCAACACAGTGCCTGAATCAGATAATAACAGTAGATAAAATGCTCTATTAAAATTACTGGTGCCAGGAGGCATTACCTTACCATGCCATAAATTAAGGGCTAAATTGTGGTGCCATGAGCCAGGTTTTAGAAGGCTTACAAGAGCCCGCTGTAACTAGGCTTTGCAAAGTGTGGGCAACAGCGTAAATGGGAGACAGCCCGATGTACAAAGCGCGTTCATAGCTACCGCTGTGTTTAGCCTGGCAAAGGGGAGGTGCGAGCAAGACACATGGGTCTAACGGACCAGCTCAAAGCAAGGGAACTGCTGGGAGGAAAGGGGTGAGGAGAGGGAGAATAGAGACCATCGGGCATGGTCCTAGAGCACCCAGCAAAGTCCAGCAGGTACACAGGAGACTACACAGCATGGCTCGGGATGTGGCAGGATTTTCCATCAGGAGAGTGTTATGATGAAATCGTGCATGGGTTGTTGTTATAAGCCGGCTGGAGCAAGCAGCCTGAGTCGGCTGGTTTGGCAAGAGTAACAAAGTATAGTTGCTGATCAGGGTGGTGATGGGGACAGGAGGATTGTATAGAAATGTGAGAGGCAGCCAGATGCAGTGGCTCGCATCTGTAACCCCAGCACTTTGGGAGGCCAAAGCAGGCAGATCACGAGGTCAAGAGATTGAGACCATCCTGGCCAACATGGTGAAACCCTGTCTCTACTAAAAACACAAAAATTAGCTGGGCATGGTGGCACGTGCCTGTAATCCCAGCTATTCAGGAGGCTGAGGCAGGAGAATTGCTTGAACCCTGGAAGCAGAGGTTGCAATGAGCCAAAATTGCACCACTATGCTCCAGCCTGGTGACAAATCAAGACTGTCTCAAAAAAAGAAAAGAAAAGAAAAGACACGTGATAGGCTCCACATCACATGTGTTAGTTTTAGGCTGTAAAGGGCTGCAAGGCTCAGCAAGAATCATGGGGCAATGAGAATCATGGTTCCATGAACAGGAGAGATCTCATGAGAAAAATGATGAGGTAAGTTTTGAATGCATTGAATTTAAGAAGATGGTAAGAGCATCTGAAGGGAGATGTCCTGACTGGTTGGATGGAGAGGAATGGTGGTCAGGTAGGTCAGAGAGCTGGCTGATGGAGGGGGGAGGCCTGGGTATTGCTGCCTGCATGGTGTGGCAAGACCACCATCAAGTCCTGGTTGAGGAAACATGAAGACGGACCTGAGAGGTGCCCGCTAAGTCTCACCCGCTGAGGGGCTGTCCCTGGGCAGCGCTGCGTGTCGACATTTTCTAAGCACTGCTAGGTTCCCATCAGGGCTCTTCCAAAAAGAGCTGCTCAGTATCTCAGTGGCTGAAATTTATGTTCATTAACATTTCATTTCTTTTGCGTTCTGTAAATAGTTTCTGCTACCATGTTTTATTTTCTAAAAGTAATATTTAAAAAAAAAGACCAGAAAATCAGTGATTCATAGACAAGTTTCACTCAATTTCTTATAACAACAATACTGGTTGGTCCTATGGTGCTCCCTTCTTATCCAGTGGCAGAAACTTGGTAATGGCTAAGTATGTATTTTTAAATGTCATACAATGCCCCGAGTGTGTTCCCCTCAGCCATAATAAACTCTCCCTCCAAACTACTTCCTGCTTTTCCCGCTGACTTGGAACTCTGGCTGAAGACAATTCTCCGGTCCCTGCCTCTGTGATATTCTTCCCTGCGTCTGCCCAGGACCCTTCTCACAGCTGCAAACTGTGTTCCTTACTTATTCCTAATGGAACAGTCAGTCTCTAGCACAGCCCTGAATGTTTGAAGGAAGTCAACGGGAAGCATCGGGTCAATTTCCTGGCTTGGGCTGCAAAACGGATCTGGGCACCTCTCCTGGCACTTTGTGATGCCCGTTTTCTTTTTCTTCTTGAAGTTGTACTGTATTGAAGGTGTATTTCTCTATCAGGTTCATATTTCATATAGTTTTCAAAATTTCAAAAGTATCACATATATTTCAAGCGTGCGTGGCTCCTGTCTGTATTTTATGGCCTGCAGGCACATGTTTGCCTTCCAATGCCCTTGGTAAGTCCTCCTAGACAGCCCCCTGCAGTGCTGACTGTCCTGGAACTGTTGTGGGTCTTAATGGCTCTAAATTATGCTGAGTTTTCCCCTTAGATTGGATGGGCTCCTCAAAGAGCCTCTCGTTGTTTCACAGTTCCTTGAAGGTCTATATTCTGTTGGATATTTCTTAGGCATTTCTCCAAACATAATAGTTAAAATCCTAAGGACATGGCAGAGATAATTAGTAAATAATGATTAAACTGAACAGTTGTTCCTCATTTTTCTCTAAACATACTTCAGCAGTGTCGTCGTTCCTGCAAATTTCAAAAGATCTTTGCAAATGTAATTCTTCTTCCCCGTCTAACAAGCATTTAAAAAGACAGAATCATGGTTGCTTCGGCAGCACATATATTATATTAAAAGCAGAGCGATACAGAGGTTAGCATGGCCCCTGTGCAAGGATGACATGCAAATTCGTGAAGCATTCCATATTTTTTTTAAAAAAGTCTATTTAATAAAAAATTTTAAAAAGAATTTAAAAACGATGAAATCAGCCATTTTGCAAGATATTTCCAAAAGAAATTTCATGGGCTTTCAAAGGTTTGTTTCATAATATACAGTTGAAGTTTTCAACTTAATATGCCCTGAAATGTAAAAACTATCAGGATTTTTTTTTCACAAGGTGGCAAAGGCAGAGCTCATGTTCCTTTCAAATCCCTTCAGTGTCTGACAGTGGGACCCATACTAGCTGTCTGAAGCAAGGGCTTGGAGTGGAACATAATGAAAATCATGGATTTCTCTCTGAGTAACACAATTTAAAAATGATGTTGTCTTCTCACAGTATGTGCTGAGCACAATACTTACTTGTAAAGTATTGAAACGTGAACTCCAGTGTGAATGCCAAAGAACTGTGGTCTCTGTTCACATCGTTATAAAAGAGTCAAGTTTATAGCAATTTATCTTAACGAGAACCGTTCTATGCATCAGGCATTTCATCCATGATGTAATTTTTAGCATGTGTTTGACATGCAAATGTGATTTTCTGATATGAATACAAAAGAGTAAAATCTTTGCTAAAAAATGCAACAATGTGGTGATCAGAAGAGAACAATTAGAGGAAGAACATCAGTGAAGGGAGCAGGTAGGAGACTGTGGAGAGTAGACATGCACGTACCAGAGGCTGCACGTGCGCGGCTTTGCCACCCAGACTAGGAAAGTCGGCAGGATGTAGGTGTGGATAGGAAGTTACTGTGATTAATACTGTGTGGCTTAGATGTAATTCTGCACCCTTGAGGTCTGACTAAAGTGAACATGGAATTAAGAAGTATGAGTGAAAAGGACAAAAGAGTAAGAAGGAAATGATCCAGACAATTCACTAAGTCTTGCTAGGAAAAATGTTCAAGCTTGGAAGGAGACTCAGTGGAAAGCCTTTGATCTAGGTAGGATTGGAAGTAAACTAAAGAAAACCTTTTTTAGGCCGGGCGCAGTGGCTCAAGCCTGTAATCCCAGCACTTTGGGAGGCCGAGGCGGGTGGATCACAAGGTCAAGAGATCGAGACCATCGTGGTCAACATGGTGAAACCCCGTCTCAACTAAAAATACAAAAAATTAGCTGGGCATGGTGGCGCATGCCTGTAATCCCAGCTACTCAGGAGGCTGAGGCAGGAGAATTGCCTGAACCTAGGAGGCGGAGGTTGCGGTGAGCCGAGATCGCGCCATTGCACTCCAGCCTGGGTAACAAGAGTGAAACTCTGTCTCAAAAAAAAAAAAAAAAAAAAAAAAAAACCTTTTTTAGTATGCTAACCTAAAATGAGACACATTTTTTTTTCGTTTTATTAGGCATTACATTGGAATTGAGTGAACTGGAGGGAAGGAATCCTAAAATGTTAAAACCACCAGGCAATCATTGATTTACTGCTGATTCTTACAGCACTTCCCAAAGTTAAGTGGAAAGGGGTGTGTGTGTGTGTGTGTGTGTGTGTGTGTGTATGTGTGTGTATTTAAATTAATATAACCACAGAAGGTGGGATAGAACTTGTAGTTTGAACATAACCTAGTTAATTTTTTACTAAAACAGACATCAACATTTTCCAGAGGCCTACAATAGATCCAGAGTCTGCAATATATGACATTCACAGTGTCCATGATACAACTCAAAATCTCTTGATATACAAACAACCAGGAAAATGGTACAAATTCTCAAGGCAGAAAGACAATCAAACAAATACCAACCTCAAGAAAAAATCATCAGACTTTAAAGCAGTTATTTTTTCTATGTTCGTAAGGTCAGGGAAAGCACACTTCAATTGAATGATATAATAGAAATTCTCAACAAAAAATGGAAAATATGAAAAGGAAGCAAATAAAAAATATTGAAATGAAAAATAGAATCTCTGCAGTAAAGATGATAAAAGGAAATTAAGTTGAAGGCAGAACAATGAAAATTATCCAATCTATGAAGAGAGATAAAGGGTTTAAAGAAAACAAACTCAGAGTGTCAGGTACCTATGTATTACCATCTAAAAATCTAACATAGTATAAATGGAGTCTCAGAAGGAGAGGAGAAAGAGGTTAAAATAGAAAAAAAAATTAACAAGAACACCCAGAAACTCCTCAATTTAGTGAAAGGCATAAATGTACAGATTCAAGACACTTAGCAAACTCGAAGGAAACAATGCCTATTAACACATAATAATCAAACTTCTGAATCCTAAGGTTACTAAAAAATTCTTGGAAGCAGCCATAAAAAGAAAAGCACACATTATGTAGAGGAGAATCATGACTTAATGTCCGTGATTTCTCATAGAAACCATGAAGTCCAGAAGACAGCAGAACTACATCTTAAATGTACTGAAAGAAAAGAGCTTCTGAACCTATAATTTTATATCTATTACAAATATCTTTCAGTAATAAATGTGAAATAAAGACATTCTCACCAGAAAGACAACAAAAAGAAGTCATTACCAGTTCGTACTCTTGTGCCCATGGAAAGAACACTCATAACTCAGCATGAGATGAACAACCCAATTAAAAATGATCAAAAAATTTGAACAGATATTTTACAAATATGAATGGCCAACACACATAAGAAAACAGGCTCCGCACCGTCAGTCATTAGGGAAATGCAAATTAAAAGCACAGGGAGCTCTAACTACATACCTTCTAGGGTAGCTAAAAGTCTTGGGAGGATGTGGAGCAACTAGAATTCTTGTGCATTGTTGAGGGGTGGGAATGTAAAATGTGCTACAACCACTTAGGAAAAAGTTTGATAATTTCTTTAGAACTTAAATAGGCTTACCATATGTCTCATGTAAGCTATTCTTGGCTATTTATTAAAGAGAAATCAAAATATATGTCTATGCAAAGATTTATGGCTAAATGTCAGAGCTTTATTTATACTAGCCAAACTCTGGAACTCTCCCAGGTGTCCGTCAGTAGGATAGATGAACTGTAGCATACTCACATAAGGGAGTATGATGATACATGCAACAATGCGAATGCATCTCAAATATGATGAATTTTTAAAAGGCTTACATAAAAATACATACTTATCATATTTGTTTCTAAAATTTTTAGAAAATGCCAGGGGATAGGATGGAGGAAGGAATAGGTTAGAAACTGGCATAAGAAAACTTGTTGGGTAATGGAACTGTTTGCTATGTCGATTATGATGATGGCTTCATGGGTGTAAACATGTATCAAAACCAATCATTTTAAACGGTGCTGTTCAATAGTACTTAATTATATCTCCATAAAATTATAAAAACTAATCAATTAAAAATGTGGCTTCCCCAAATATCCTCTTTCTTCTTCTTCTTCTTTTTTTTTTTTTTTTTCCTGGAGATGGAGTCTCACTCTGTTTCCCAGGCTGGAGTACAGTGGCACGATTTTGGCTCACTGCAATCTCTGCCTCCCAGGTTCAAGCAATTCTCCTGCCTTAGCCTTCTGACTAGCTGAGATTACAGGCACCCACCATCATGCCCGGCTAATTTTTCTATTTTGGGTAAAGATGGGGTTTCACCATGTTGGCCAGGTTGGTCTCGAACTCTTGACCTTGGGTGATCAGCCTGCCTCGGCCTCCCAGAGTGCTGGGATTACCCCAATCCTGTTTCTTTAGTCAATAACTATTGACTAAAATCCTCTCTCTTTGGTCAATAGCTAACATTGTGCTGAATAACGAAAGCTTGAAAGCTTTTCCTCTGAGATCAGAAGCAAGACAAGTGGGCCTGGCACAGTGTCTCTCGCCTGTAATCCCAGTGAGTGAGGGACCAAGGGCCTGGAAGAACACATCTTATCTGGGAGAGACCTTAGCCCACTGTCTGCAATTCGGTCACATCTTTGGCGAGCCAGCCAGGAGTTACAGCTAAGAACCTGATACTTCGGAAGAGTGAGCGAGTATAGTAGACCCCTCTCACTTACAATCTGTCCTATCGCTTTAAGGAAACACTGGGAGGCCCGAGGGGCAGGGCCCAGCAGGGCCTGGTCACTGATCCAGGTCCCAGCCCAACTTTAAGTGGTGCAGGCCAGCCAGATTTAAAGGCTTAGCTTTTTTCCCAAACCTGCTCTCCCCCTTTTCGGCTGCTTCTCTGGGCTAAGTTACCTGAGGGACCTGAGTGCACAGTGGCTGCAGTTGCTGGAGCTGTGGGGGAGGAGGGGGCGAGGTGTGGACGGGGCCTGTGTGGGACCGTGGGATCTGCTGTGCTGTGAGCCACAGGTGCGGCTGGGGCAGGCACTCGTGGTCTGGACCCAAGTCCCACCTAGTTTTTCCATAGCGTAGGCTGGCTGCCAAGATTTAAAGATACAACATTTGTTTTCGGGCAACTCTCAGGGGAATCAGAGCCAGTACATTAAGGGAGTGGCCCAAGGTCCACTTTTGCAGGGAGGCAGTGGTGCAGAGAGGGGGCCCAGTGTGCTCGTGGTGGACACCGCGGGGCTTCCACCTGCTGTGCCGCAGGGAGCAGCGTTTTCATTCCAGGGAGGCTTACAGGAGCTCCCCAGCAAGGTTTTGGAAAGAATGGCCCGTTAGCACAGTGGTTAGGGCATAGGGCCAGTAGCCCTGAGGTTATTGCTTCAAATCCTTGGTGGGGCCAGGCTTGAGTGGGGAAACCTTTCCGGGGAATCCAGAAGCTAAAGGCTATGGGACATTGAGTTTTGTGTCACCTGTACATTTCCCAATGCAACTAAATAGTGCCAGAATCTAACGTACAACTTGTCTTGCTTAGGATTTGCTCTCTGTATGGCAGAACTTCTCCATTTAAAAGACCATAGTTAAACCGGGTCCTAGGCCCAAATAGTTGATTTCAGTCCCCACAACCCCTAGGGAATTTTCCTATAATGGAAAATGGGGTGAAAGAGGAGGCCTGGGTCCTGAGGGCATTGTTTCAGCCTCAGACAGGCCCCACCTACTCACCTTCTTTGAATTGTGTGCTCTGAGGTCGCTCCCTAGAAGTTTACCCTCCTAGAGCAGTTTTATAATCAGGCCTGTATTAATTGGATT